TTCGAAGAATTAGCCATGGTTCGGCTACCGTCCGGAGTTGAACAAATGGTTCGTCATTGATCGTTGTTTGACCTAGTTAGTAGCAGATAATCCTGACCTTTCTGGCGTTCACCTTTCGTCATTACGATTCTCTGCCTTTCTGACCGATTTAGCAAATAATGTTCAGTATGACCAAGAACTCAAAGGAGAAATCCAAGTTTTCGATCCAGAGCATAAAGAAAGCAATAATATATTAGAGAAGATTTTTAGAAAAGAATTTGAAGCGGGGCTATTTTACTAGGAGCCGTCCTTCGTTTATGCTTGCATTTCTTCTGATATTGTCTCCGGAACGAGCAGTTATTGTTGAGAGGTTCTTCATAGGCGATCAAGGTTGGATTGAGAGCAGTGGACTGCGACCATGAGAAAGAAAATGGCGATTCGTTTAATTGAGCTAAGAGGTCTCTTTAGAACTGGCGTTACGCTTCGATCAATGATGGGTGGCCGCCAAGACGGTAAGGTGCTTGGAGAAGACCAGTTGTACGCCACCAAATAACCTGCAATGAAGTGAAACACCGCCTGACAGCCCAGCGCGATCGTTTCGTATCCTTGCGGAACGATGAGTTTCCCAGCCGGTATTCTAATAGTAACTGTGTTTGGGAGCTACCATATGGTCCATCTACCCAAGCGCATACTCCATTATGGAAGGGCTCTTTGAGTTTCCATTACTCAAGTGACCAGACGATACTACAGTTAATGCAAAAAAGGTCCAGATGTGATGTTAGTCAGTGGAAAGATCATGACGAGATAGTATCTAGGGAATGGCAAGACGTCAGTCTATCGCTTACTTTGCGCAAGGTTTTTTTTAACTAGGTGGATCACCACGATTTTCCCACTAACCGTCATCGACGGTGGCCAAGTGAATTTGGGCCGTTCTCGATAGAAGTGTTGCAATTGTGTACGGCTGTCTTTGCATTTAGGAATTCATGAGTCGTCGTTGGTGACGACGATTGGGGATCGAACTGGAGAGGATGACAGAGGATAGTTAGGAAATACTCAAATGCACGGAAAGTGCTGAACAACAACCATTGTTAATGGTGACCTCATGGTGAAGAAGGACAAGTAATGCAACTGACTTTCGCACACGATCGACATCGTCGCCATAGAAGGCAAAGCGCACAGCTCTACATCGATCCATCCACCAACATTCTAGTGTCCGGATTAGTTTTCATTTTCTATTTCTGCTACCAGTTATGAACATATTTCGTACAAGATCCCGAGTGAGTGTTTGATATGCCAAGGTATAATTGAACAGGAAAAAGCTATGTGGCAATATCGTCACCTGGCCAATTTGGTATATTTTTGAACGACGTTGAGGAGGAAAGGAGAAGAAGTGTCTTTTGTGCATTGTGAAGTGGTTGAATTTAAAATGAAGAAAGATTAGAGAAGCATGAGGAAAACCTTCTTCTATGGAAGCGTGTTGACCTAAGAAAGCAAAAGGAATAGAGAAAAAGGCAAAAGCATGTCTTCGAACTTCTTCAGAGATCTCGCAAATCGCTAGGCGCTGGTCTACATAATGAGATGGGAAGGCTTTTCGAAAGAGAAGACTAAGACTAAGAGAAAAAATCCGAAATCGCGAAAATACTAACTTTTTTAAAGAAATATTTCAAAATATCCGTCACCTTTACCCCGACTCAGTACTAACACCGAGGGAAACGCTTGTAAACCAAAACGAATCCGATCGTTTATAATCCGATTATGAAACTTCTACGACGGATTGCAGAGGTCGTTGCCCTTTCACTGAATTGAATCTGTTTGGCGCTTTCCGCATTGTTCACACGTTGTATTGGTGTGAACGATTTCGAAATATTCGACAACCAGGTTGTAAAAGATACGAAAGAAAAGTGGAAGAACGATATGTAAAATGACATAAAAGACAACAGTTAGACCTGTAGCGTATTTCACAGTTCAGGTAGAAGTTAGGGCGGGAGATTCATCCATGCCTAAACCTGCTTAAGTTCGCGGCGTGAGTGAGATTTTCCAATGTGGGCAAGCGGAGGAGCAGACGTTGATGGTAGGCGTAGGCGTCGGCGTATCAAGGGATATTTGAATGGAATAGCAATGGATTTCTGTTTTTTTCGGTTCTAAGAACATTTATTTTACAGCGTTTTTCTTCCTAAATGTGTTATATTTATAGAGAACAGCGTCGGTCACGGATATCGAACAGGCGATCTACGTTTTCTGCACAGCCCTTCTCGGCTTCTTTCCCACCACTACTGTTTCTTTAACTAGCTCTGTGACGCTATTTGATGTACAATTCCCTTGCAAAATGTAAATCGACTTGTAAATCACGCCAAGCCAAGTATTTTTTGCGTTGGCAAAAAGACAACTTCACCATTGACCTATTCAGAAGTGATATGGGTCTATGGAAACAAAAAGCGGCTATATTTCATTTCTACTTAGGTTAAAAAGGTCTCGTAGTATTGTAAACTCTCTGAAAGGTAAAGGTTTTCAATTCGTGTTTTAAGAACAGTTTACTTAACCATCTCTGCTACATCCGTTTTACTGTATGGGTCTCCCTCTGGATTCTCTCCCTACCAATATCCATTCCTCCTTTCATACTCAAAAAAGGGATAGGAAGGGAATCAAATGGTTCGTTAGTGTTCGTTTAGAAATGGAACTGGCCACGAGTAATACTGGTTGGTGACTAATGGATGGCAATGGTGACGGACGGAGCCTCCCTGTCCGGGCACAGACCGGTCATCGAGCGAAAATGAAAATTACGTCCGATTGCTAATAATTTCAGTGCTATTAACGATATATTCGCTTCGCGATTGTATAAAAACCGCTCAAATGAGGCCAGCAAATGGCTTCACCAACTATGATGGATATTAGTGGCTCTACGATCGGGGTTTCAGTTTCACAGGTGGGTCGGTCACCTTGGAGGAGCGTGTCACGACGGTTATATGTCCTCTAATGACCAGGTGTCTTTGCGGCCGTCACCTCTTATTCACGTCATATTGTGTAATCATGAAGTTGGTCTTTTGAGGGTAAATCTTGCGATATTCTCTTTATAGCGTAGCAAAAAATTCAACATGTGCATTATTGTGCATAAAAAATGTTCAGCCGCATAGAAAAGCACCCAGCCATTTTTTCCAGTTTTCTGTCCGAGTGGGTGTGTGAGAAAGACAGCCAAGAGGAGAGTTTGTCTTCTTATTCCTTTCAGATTGACCTTGACCTCTAGGCACTATCAAGAAACGGCCTTTCTATGAATTTTGTCTTTCCTTGACTCTCAATCAATTAAATCCTGGTGGGATTAACAAAATGTCCATCTATGAATTTTGTCTTTCCTTGACTCTCAATCAATTAAATCCTGGTGGGATTAACAAAATGTCCATTATGGAAACAACGGCAGATTATAGAAGAAAACAAGTGGTGAAAAAATGGAAAAAAAGAATGAGAAGAACGACCGAAAAACTCAAATCAGTAGTCAGTAATGTCAAGTATTGCGGGAGTCAACTTGCTAACTATTGAATGAGTAGGGAGGATTGAGAAGGAAGACGTCAAGAGCGAAGGGTGGTTCTTCGGACTAGTGCAGCCCATTCTGACGGTCATTCAGGTCAAGCAGCACGGTCCATGCGTTTAAGTGAACAACACTCATTCGTGTTCGGGGAAAATTATACCAGTTTTTACAATAAAAAGCACATGCTGCTGCAAAGTGCTCATAGGCGCTGTGTGACGACATTTTTTGCTAGCCACCGTCACAAATCCACTGCCGGAGATCCCGAAGCGGCCTCGGAGTTTGTGATGCACACAAGGAATCGTCGCAGCATAATCGTCGGTATATAATGCAATATGGTACTTTGTGACCGTGAAAGATTGAACGCGTGAAGAGGCCAACGTTACCACCGATCGGGATAACATCTTTTCTGGCTGAACGGCCCCCATCCATCGGATTTGGCGCAAAGCAAATGTTCAGTGGATAGTAAGTTTGAAACTAGACTGTTTCTATCAGCGGAACAATGACGAGGATACTGCTACATCGTTTTTCGTCCGACATAGGCTTCTCGAGATAATTAAATAAACTCATAGCTTCTTTTTGGAGTGTCCTAGTTGTAGAATCGGTTTATTGTCGAGAGTCTTGTAAAATAACAGCACTCTCTCGCTATCTTAGCGAAATTGAATTATTTCAAGTTCTTCCGACATCTATGCTCGTCATGTGAAAAGTGAACGAAGAGTACATGTATAACGGAGAAAGAAGAAAAGAGATGGGAAATATAAAACAGAATAGATATAGGAATCACTAACCATGACTTATCCCAACACGGCTGCTCATCCTAATCTTCTAATATCATTAGCGGCTAGATAAGTCGCAGCGTTACTACGACTGTTGACTGATACTGCAGAAAATTCTCAGCAGTTCTTGCGTAACCTTCTATCTAAGATGTAGTGAATATTTTTAGAACAGCGGAAACGAGACAGTGAAATAGCAGTATCTTCGTCCGATCCATTCTCATAGCACTTGGCGCTGTTGTACCCCAGAAAAAATCCTCTCGTACCACTCAGTGTGCCCATTTGCTCAAATAGGCTAGTGATCAAACAACATCACTGTGAATTTGCGCCATCGTTGGAGAGACATCTGCTAATGGACGTCGGGCTTTTTCGTTCCTTACGCTTAGCGTGACTTCGTTTGTGCTGATGAGTATTTTTCACTGACGACAGTACATGACACGTCTTGGGTACAATGCTCTGCTACAAACTACTTGCTGTTTTATTCAGATAGTTTTTCTCGACTTTACATGGCCGATACTATGCCCAAGGGTGGATCGTGTGTGTTGAACACAACTATTTCAAACATTAAAACATCCTCATGCCAAATCTCCGCAGAAATATTATCTGCTGTCGCCTAGTGAATCAATCTTTGCGACTTTTATTAAGAATCCAGAAAGTACAACTGAGGTAACTTCGACCTGCAACGACAACAAAAACAACAAATGCAGTGAAAACAACTATGGACACTAGGCTTAAATCTGATGCTTTGGCAGCACTGATGGTTCCCTAAACTCTATCATTTTATTCAACCCACTGTCAATGTCTTTTCCAGAAGCCTGGCATTTAGCTGATAGAAAAAACAAACACAACAATGTTTATGTTGGTAATATAAGAAACTAAAATATTACGCTGCAATATTAAAGTGCAAGGGACAAAAAAGCATAAGTACAATATACAGTGAATAACGAGGACAAAGCTCTTCGCCTTGCTCAATCCCTAAGGGATACTCTACGCGTTCGACTTCCCCAAACATCCTTAGACGTAAGTGGTGCATAGTGGTGCTTATGTGGCCAACGAAATGACTCGCGATGGTCTAAATATGTATCGAGTCGGTGCTGTTATCCTCTCAGACAAGTCTGGTACCAATTTGCCGGCCCCAGAGGGATGGAATGCTTGGTGAGCCTGGGGCGCAGAATCAATCCCTGGTATATTGTAGGGCGCCTATAACCACTGCGCTAAACACCCCCGTTACAATTATAATGCATGCGAATAAAAAACGAAATACGTGAGCTAAGTTTTGTGGCAATTGCTGAAATTATCTGCAGTAGTTCAGTCAAATTACCAGTTAGTTGGTAATTGTGTTAGGGCCCCTACGTAAAGACGAGTTATTCAAATGCCGAGTATCAGTCTAAACTGGATGTTTCCCACTTTGGTTAAGATTTTTAACATGGCGAACTATAAGGTTTCTTTTGCTCTGTAAAGAACTGCTCTTTTCTATCCATCACTTATCTAGGCTAAACTGCTCCAGAAATAATACCTACGTCCTTTTCCTATCTAAATAGCCATCATCATTACCGTCGGCTTCACCAAAGTGTTCTTTTATTGTAATTTTTCTTCCTTTCGTCACTTTCCTAGGCTAAATTTATTAGATGCCGTTGACTGTCTAGCGTCTAACTAAATAGACAAAAACTAGGGAGTTCTCTTCTCATGAAGAGATTAAGAGATCAGAAGCACGCTAACCGTCTTACGAGAAAACCAGTAAAACAAAAACAGTACTAAATATTTGAACTTTTTAGGGAAGCCAAGTCTAATGAAAGAGCAAATATGAGGGAAAAAAAAGAAGTGGACGGAAAATGGAAGGAATCATTTCTGAACTGGCGTATAATGAACGAACTCAACATATGACAATCGTATACAAATCGACAGCGAAATATTTTGAAAAGAGGCGGTGAAGTGGAATGAATGAGTGGTGCCAGCCGGTCAGGGGCCGACCAGGGGCCGTTCAGGCCCGTAATGAACATCGGCATAATGCGCTCAGCACTCATATTGGAAACGTCGACGCTCCACTCGACATGTCCGACCACAACCACTCGTTTCGGAGCGCTCACCAATGCTCGTCAGGTCCGACCAGATCAGCTTGAGAGCAGTTTCATTTCAACCGTCCGTACGATAATCCACGAAGCGGAATATTTTGTGCTTTATACCTGTTTTCTGCCATTTAGAAGTCCATAGATTCTATTCAAAGCCGTCGTTCCCTCCACATGAACATCTAGACTTCCTGGTTATGAACGTGTTGCCATAGCAAACGCTTAAAAACGTTTGGCCAAAATCGATTTGCAGGTGAGCACGAGCGAATGATGGAGAGAGCTGCTTGAAGAAGAAGGATTTGCCAACAGAAGCAGTATTATAAAATCTGTTAAGAGAAATTATCATACTAATGGTGAAGTCTCAACAAGTCAACATTTTTTTCATTTTATTTGATCCGTCTTCAAGTCTACTGTGCGGATCCCAGCACTTTTCAGATCCAATTCGTTTCCTCGCATACATCGTCCACGAAACTCTTCCAAGTTTCAGTCGATTCTCCCTGGCGTCCTGAGATAGTCGCCCTGGAGCGTTCCCAACTGGAATGCAGAGAGTGATTTTTTTCCAGACAAGTCCAGTACCAATTTCCCTACCCTAGAGAGATGAGAGACTTGGTTGGCCGAAAGAGGAATCGAACTACCACTATGCTCATGATAACGGACAACACTACCACTGTGCTCTCCGTCTCCTAACAAGTCAGAAATCTCATGAAAATGACGAACTCCACTAATTCCTGTTTCCTACAGTGATATCTGATTTAGCCGTTCATTACTCCTGAAGTAGAGGACGGTGTTGAAGGGAGTTGGTCTACTTACCATATGCATCGAATGTCGTAGCGTTGAAGAGCAAAATAGAACTCTCGTTGCACTGATACCAGTTCGCGTGGATGTCAGTGCCATCGGGCCAAGAGACATCGCAAGCCATGGAGTTACAACCAGCAGCCACCAGAATTGTAGTAGTACTAGCGTTCATTTCTAAACTGTGCCTTTTAAGGAAGGAAGACATATGCAATGCAAAAAATTCCTGAAGAAAAAGGGAAAATATTGAATTATGCGCAAAGAAATGGATTTCCTCCTATCCTTATTACAAGATATTATAGAATATTCACGGAAAATGGCAAGAACTCAGATATCACTCAGTTTTATCGAAATTTACCAAGTTTTGACTGATCGCAAAAAATGTTATTACAGAATAAGTAACTAGGATAGAATTAACTGATAGAGAGGCGAAACGAAGGTTCTGCATGGTGTGGTGGTGAGCGCGTTATCCCCCAGAAAGGATAATAGTGCGTTCGTTCCCCTCGCAGACACCTGTGTTCCGGAGTTTTGCAAATATCTCAGCATCATTGTGGTTGTTTAACACATAATACCCTGCCGTCAAGATTATAATAGGCAGTAAATAACAAGGTTAACATTTATAAAACAAGTGTTCTAAAGGACTTAACGTAAAAGACGGTAAAAACTTTGGACTGTTCTCATTGTCGGCTAGGACAACGAATTTAGCTCTGATTTCACAATGAAATCCACTGACAACGCTACCAGTTAAGCTTCGTCATTTTCAGTACAGCGGATGGAATTCGGAACTTTCTGGCGTTATCGCCTTCTTATCATCTCGCATTCAGTGTAGTTCACGACATCTGGGCGACTGAAGAAAAACATCCAACTCCGCGCAGGGAATTATCTCACACATGCGATCTCATTATTGCCGCACTCAATTGTTCTATAATAATTCACTGCTCTTCTTGATGAGCAAGCAATTAGAGCGTTTATTACCACACAATAACTGACGTTTCGGCAGTTTTGCCATCCTTTGGCTCTGGAAGGATCAAATTGGCTTGAAATCTACTCGGCCAAACACTTTCCCTTCGCCTAATAAACAGCTTGTTTTGAACACTGACCGTTTTGTCCTTTGAAAATCTTCCACTTATTTATTGAAGACCAGCCGCAGAAATCCCTATATGGACGAGGAAGGTGCCTGGCACAGATCAGGAAATCAGCCTGGGGAAGGCGCTAGGTCAAGGGTGATCACAACAAATTTTTTGAATTAATCCAAAACGCTTCAAGAGTTGTACGATCTGATGTTTTGGATTCCAGTGCAAGCATAGCGATTTTTACTTTAAAGTCTTGTCCACTATGTCTCTGTGTTCTATGCGTATTTGGCGACTAGATGTTCTTTTTTTACAGACGCGGAGTGGTCTACCTACTTTGCCACCGTATTCATCTCCACGCGCTATACAAGAGTTTAGGTAGCCTGCATCCCAACTCATGCAGTCACCGACTCTAGCGTTGGGAGATATGCAAATTTGAGTTGTGTCCAGAGGGTCACACAGGCGGTTGCAAACTAGCTGGCGTCATAAAGCGCTAGATGGTATTTCAATCACGGCTGCCGAATTCTATAAAACGGCTCTTTTTAAGCAACGTTTTGTAGCTCTGCTTATTTCGTTGTAAATGAAAGACGGGATAAAAAGAACTTTGTTCCCGATCGTTTGGGGGCACGATTCTTTCCCTAAATCGGTGTCGAGGAACCATGGTATCATAGCCATTCGAAACGGGCTATTTACCTCGCCAGTTTCAAGGGTTCTTCCTTCTGTTCTGTTCTTGTGCAAACACTGGTGGCGTATCTTACAAGCGCCATTTTGTTGTGTGAAGGGTGAGAGAAGAGATATCGCACCACTGTGCTCTCACCAGTGGGCTTTTGGATCATATCGTAATTTATCCGTTTTCAGATAGGTTAATTTGGAAGTTCAGAAATGGAAGCCGGTTTTCTTTCAGTTTCTTTGGGTTGAGCATTGGGTACTCTCATTGTTTGTTTAGAAACTCAAAGCATTTAACCATCTCCTTCTGTCTGGAGCAGATGATAAAGCAGTCATCTATATATCTACAGTAGAGTAATGGCCGACGATCGGTTACTAGTGCTTCCAGCTTAGATATAAAAGTAATGGCAGGGCTTTGTGCCAGTCCATATCCCACTGCCAGCCCTGTAACTTCTACGTAGTATTTCGCAGATCATTTGAAGACCGAGCAGTTTAAGCACACTTTTAAGAGGGTCATGTGCTGGTGGATCGAGAAACCATGCATTTACATTTCTCCTTCGTGTTCCACAAGAAGCTCGCGGATGGCTTCGTTGCGAAACATTGTCCGTTCGATTGCATTGTGTTCGGTGATAGTAAGATTCCTGGTGAGCTAGATGACTCAAGATTTTACGCGATATTTAAAAAATAATCCTCAATAATACGACATCTGATCACAGTAAGCGGCATGGATAAATAAAATCGTCCGATTCCGCCGGATCCAATCCTGAACATTCAGGTAGCGTCACGGTTTGAAATACAAATCCTCACAGAACGAAAGAGGGAACGACTTTCGGGCTCCGAAAAGCTACGGTTACATGGTTATAGGATACCAAAAGTTGTATCACTGTGTTTTACAAAGACCTGTATGATTTCATTGAAACTGACCACAAGATTCATTATAAGTTAAGGTATGAGTGTTTATCTGTTGGCTAGTTCGTGTAGTGGCTGCTTCTCTTCCTCTGGTGTTGCACGCGGGAATTCTTGCAAGTGTATCAGTTAGTGAGCTCAAATATGGATGATAAAACTTTTATACGAATATCTGGTTACTCGGATGGTCCGCGCTCACTAGTGGTGCAGGCTTCACCGTAATTTCCATTGTCTCTCACAATCCTTATCCGTCAATACGGTGAGTTCCGCGGGGCGGACTCCGAATTCCTAAAATAGTTCTCAATAACGAATGAAGACGGTTGACATTAGCTACAAACACATCTACCCATCGTTTTGGTTCGTCCAAAGCACGCTTAAATTCTCTTAAAGCCCACCCGCTGTTCTTTTCGTCTATCTGTCACCCGTTCCTCCTATTAGGTGATCAGCCAATCTGTGTTTCGCTGTTGATGTATATTCTCCTTTATCATAGGTTTCGAATATCTGAGCTGCGCATTCCAGCTAAACGTTGTAAGTGTCGATTGAATTTCAAAAAATATCGTTTATGCGCTCTGTTGGTGTTACGCAGTTCTGACTGATTCCCACCTGTTCGCTGCAAAACAAAGCACAGGAAGAAAGAAATGAGCGCAGAGTTTTAGATCCTCTAGTCGCTCGATGGTTTCTTCGAGAAGTCGAATGCGGCCCATGCTACTCTTCTTCTTCTCTCTAATTCCTCCTTAGCGTTGGTCTCCATGCACATCAGGCGCCCAAGGTATTCGTACGTGGTGCTCTCTGCAATCAACAAACCATCCACTTTGATATGATTGTCTTCGCACCATAAGTTTTTAATGAACTGGATCATCATCCAACATAAGGCCATCTTTTTCCTCGATTCGTTGAGCTCATTAATCATCGTCTCTACACCATTGGTACTTCTTCAAAAGATGACGATATCGCCGGCGAAACGGTTTCATAGGAAATTTCAATCTGTATCTATATCCTTCAAGATCCCGTGTTCTCGAGCGACTTAATTATATAGTGCAATGCGGCAGTAAATGGCTTTGGAGATTTGGTATAACGTTGTCGAAACCCGTTTCCTGTAGGCATGGTAAGAGCTCAATGAAAAAGCTGTACTTTTGTGTTAAAGTTCCCATAATAGTCATATAAAGTTTTCACGGAAGACGGTGCACTACTTAACTGACGAGTGCTGACAGGAATGCATTCGTTTTATCGTTGTGAAACGCTTATTTATAGTCGAAAAATTCAGGACAAGAGGTAGGAGGCACTGATAACTACTACAACTTTTGACACAATCTAGATGTGGTCCATGGAAGAGAGTTTCTGTTAGAAACATGCTTACTGCACTTTTGGTTCATAATCCAAGGTTTTCAGGTGTGCGCAAGATCACAGCCTTTGTGAATTACTTGCAGAGTACACTTAACAAGCATATCCAAAGTTAATTCCCACGACCGATTTCCTTTTAACCTCGGCATTGATTGGTAATTTAATTATCCGAAAGTAATTACCAAAATTTTCCTGATCACCCATCCTGGGTATGACAACCTCATGCGATGTCCTCCCGTGATGTGGGATTTTTTCCTACTGAAAACAAGAGTTTAAAACTTCCAGCTCTGAGAAAATCGGCAGCGATAATAACTGGTCTTAAAGCTGTGCCTGCCTTCATACTTTTGCCACTTCGAAGTTTAGAGGCCCGAGCACCTGGACTTCAAGATCTGATACGGGGACTGCGGAACGAAAAATATTCGTAGAAAGCTATTCCATTGTGAATTCGACATCTCAGCAGAATGTTTTTATAGGTCACAATCGGTCGTCATGGTTGATAGCAGAACATTATAGTCGGAAAGATGCCGACGGCATTCTTAAAACTAAATCGCTTTTGATTTGCTTCCAGTAAAATTTCATATTTTTCCCAGTCTGATATAGGAGTAATCCAGTAAGTTCTGCATGCTCTGGGGACTCATTGAACACCAAATAATTCTCGTAGGGTTTTCGTGAAGAACACTTACCGCAGAGTCGGTGATCTGCGTTGTGTGTTTGACACCATCAGGAATCCACTCTTTAAGCGCTCTTGTCCATGGGTTTTCTTTAATACGCCTCGAGTATCTGGCCCTCTGGATTTTCAGCATTTTGACGTGCACAGCGCCGTCTCTTATTTTGACCGTTAACCAAGGTTACCTCTCTTACTAATGTGATATGGGATACTCTTAAAATTGCCCTTTCCTCTACTCGCTCTATAACGTTGAGCGATTTTTATCCTGTTTACGTTGCTGCAAGGTTTCTGACGCACACGTTAAGGCAGAAAGAATCGTGGAGCCGAAAGGTGGGCGTGGAGTCCGTGCTCTTTGTTTCCCTCATTACATCCCCGATGCCCGAGGCCGACGTTTCGGCGACTTCGCCTTCCTCAGACCCTGGACGTATTTTATATTAGAATATTTTTATTATTCGGTGGAAAAAAAGGTTAAAGTATTAATGAAGATCAAACTTTCAAATAGACGCCATATTGAACAGAAAGCCACTCACCGTGCTCACCGCGATGTTACGTGTGGGACTGGCCCACACGTAGTTC